TTACTATGTGATGCGCACAGCATACAAGTATAGACTAAATCACAAGAATTGAAACAAAACATCTCATGTTTGTTTTTCAAAAATGGTTTGAAAGTGCTACCGCAAGTAGGCTAAGACGTTAATAAAACCCCAACTTTTGTAAAATTACACAAAAGCCCCAAACTTTTACAAAATTACCAAACCAAGCCCAACATCTCAAAATACCAAAATTTAAAGACAAAACCCATAGAGAGGAGTAGGATATCCCTACCTCGAAGTTTAAGCCACAAAGGAGATGAAGACTCCAAGATCAACTTGCTCCAAATCCAAACTTTTTCAGATTAAATCGAAGCTCTCAACGCCCTCTATCTTTTTAACAAAGGCCCTAGGCTAGATTTACACCTTAGGGAGATCAAATCTTAGAGAGAGTGCAAGTTTAGAGAGAGAGAGTGTCGGATTAAGGGTTTGCTCAAAGAAAAGAAGTGAAAAAGTGATGTTTTAGACGCTGCTGTCCGCTGATATAAAACACTCTCGCTCGAGCGAAGGATTGGTCGCTCGAGCTACCAGACACAGAAAACTCTCGCTCGAGCCAAGAAGTTCTCGATCGAGCGAAGAAAAACCCAGACCGCTCGAGCCACGAAAAGCTCGCTCGAGCCAGAAACTACAACTCTCAGGTCCAGAACCGGGGCAACACTACTCTCGCTCGAGCGACAAACTCCTGGCTCGAGTGAAGGACCAAAAATCTGGGCAGCAACACTAGGCTCCCAAGCACAACCAACCTGTAACAAACCTGCCCAACACATCCCATAACTCAAAATACAAAGTAAAGAGGATGCAAACTAGGAAAGAAACAACTACCAACATTCACGGACACATGTCCGGATCACTGTACAACAAGGGTAAACCCGGGATCGCTATATCATCTGCGAGCAAACATGTTGAGCTTGGTATTTATTGGGATCCGACTTGAACAGCAATTTGGGTTTGGTATGTTATGTTCTTTTATCTTGTTGAAGCCTAAACTTGTCCCTAATTCAAATTAGTATGTGAAAAAGAAGTTTTATTATACTTTTCCACAGTAACTTGTTGAAGAGATGGAGATGTGGGTGTTTGGGGTGTCCTATGGGAATGAAATCTTTGCTGAGCTTCAAAATGAGTCCCCTTGAGTATTATGTGACAATTGTAGTGTTTAGCATTATGCATTAGACTTTTTTTTCATTTTTCACTCTCCTTTTTAGCAAGCACGCCTTTCAATGGCTTCTCATAGTTGGATGCATTTCTGCCAAAAAAATCTAATAAAAGCAAAGTTAATTACCACATGGATATTTTGGGCACCCTATTCTACCATAATTGATCCATTGTGAGGTTCTTGTTCCTGAAGTGTTACTGTCTTAACAATTTTGCTATGTTTCTCTTACATCCATATAATCTTCTTCTTCTTCTTCCTTAATTTATTATTTTTGGTATGTGTCAATGCGAGTTGGGGCAATCTACCTGTTGTCAGGATTTGGTGGGAGCATACTCTCTGCCCTTTTCATTCAACACAGAATTTCTTATGGTGCTTTTGGTGCTCTATTTGGACTTCTTGGAGCGATGCTATCTGAGCTACTTACTAATTGGACTATTTATACCAATAAGGTAGATTCAGTAGCCGTTTGATTTTTCCTGAAGTATTGGATTAGTAGTTGGAGTGTAGATTAGTAGTTCTACCTGTTTAAATGGTTTTTAAAATACTTTGTTCAAGCTGTGAATATGAAGAAATTTGACTAGTCTAACCACATTTCCTGATTAGTAGTTCTACCTGTTTAAATGGTTTTGCTAGAGCTTGTGTTGATAATCCCAACCTCATATCTTCCACTCCGCTCTCACACTTACCCTCCTCCAAGTAAAAGTTCAACCAAAACATATACACTATTCAGAAGTAGAAAAATTATTTTAACTTAGTTTCCATTGTTGAAACATAGGTCAATATTGGCATATCGTGGAACAATAGTTAGAATTGATATACATATGAATGATGTTTTATTTATAAAATGGTATTGATAGTCACTTAATTTGTTAATGTTTCATTTACTTTCCATGTAGAATTTACATTTTTTGTCCAATTTTATAATAAAGTGTTGTGCAAATATTTTCAACAAAAATTTACCTGACATTATTTCTCATTTTCTTTGGTACAAATGGATTATCTCGTGCACAAAGCTAAATTGTACATGACTGATTGGCACTATAAGCATTTTTGAAAGGAATATATATTTTTGGATAGATGTGTATGGCAAAGATTTTGGTGGACTAATAGTTATATTTTTGGAAAGACTAGTAGTTATATTTTTTGGATGAATGTGTATGGAAAATATTTGTATAGACTATGTATATTTTTTGATAGATGCGCATGGATAACAATTTAAAACATAATAACAACTAATTGTTATGTTTTAAATTATTATGCTAGATAGATGTCACTTGGATGATTATATAGATTACAAGTGGATTTTTAATTGGAGGAATATGTAGTTTGAAATTACTTGTGGATGAAAAATTATAATAGTTGATGACTTTCATTAAACAGGTTCAGTTTGGATGATTTATATTTTTTCGAATGTTCATGATTCAGTTGATTTGAATGATGCTTGTAAATTACAAATTATATTGAATGGATTGGATGAATTATTATGAATTACAGGTTTATTTTGTTGGATGTTGGCGACCAAATGTTGATCTTGTTTTTTTTTTTTTTTCTGTTTTGGCGACCAATTGATTAGTTGGGAAAGATAACTAATACTTTTGCCGACTAAATAATTAGTTGTTAAAGTCATTAATTTTGGTGACCAAAAAGGAATTCGTCGCTAATAGGTCAATTAGCCGACTAAAGTTTTAGTTGCGCAAATATTCTTTTTCACGACTAACATTTTTGGTGGTGGAATGTGACAATTGCCGACCAATCTTTTTGGTCGTGGAATGTACCATTTGCCGACCAAACTTGTTGGTCGTGGAATGTATTGCCGACCAAATTTGTTGGTTGTGGAAATGGGCCACAATTGCCGACCAAACTATTTTGGTCGTTGAATGTGCGAATTGGCGACTAACATGTTTGGTCAAGAAAATATGACTTTTCGCGACTAAAGTGTTTTAGCTACTAAATGGGTTAGTCGTAGTAATTATATATTTAGCGACTAAAAATTTAGTCAGCAAATATAACTTTTCGTGACTAAAATTTAGTCGCTAATTACATTCCGCGACCCTCAATTGGCGACCAAAGTAGCGACCAAAAAAATTAGTCGCGGATAACTTTTGCCGATTAAAAATGGACTTTTACTGACTAAATTTTTAGTCGGCAAAAGTGCGAATTCTTGTAGTGCCTTGTCGTTAAGTGACCAAGTTGTAGTCTTTCCAATATGACTTCTTGTTTTTTTTAACTATTTCTACTGATAAATGCTTGAAAGTTTAGTTACCAAAACTCCTAATTTATTCGATGCCACCTTTTTTTCTCTCTCTAAATGCACGAAATTCCCTCTTGAACATATATCAGACAATTACAAGGCATATAGCTTCACCGGGTAACTTGAAGGATGCCACTGAGCATCCTCTGTGGCCTCAATAGTTAGTAAAAGTAATTTAAAAAGTGATCAAATAATAAAGATTGAAACCAAATCACATTAAATTTAATCACACAATACACTATTTTCTAGATACATTTCCATTGTCAAATGTAATCATAAACCCTCTTTTTTCCTGCAATTTTAGTTAAATCAAGAGATCATTATTTATTTATTTATTTATTTTCAGTCTAGCTAATGGGTTGAGAAAAAAACAATCAACCATCAAAAATCACATATGATACAAATATCATCCAAACACAACATAAATTTATTATCTATGGATAGTACAATACTTCGCCACAGAAAGAGCTACAAAACACTTACATTAATGGAGTCCACACCCTTATGAGGGTTTTGGGCCATTTCCTATGGTTGAGATATGCAATTCTCATCATTTCTTGTTCCACGGAAGTTGACATTCAAAAACAGTAGTTGGCGTATCCTACAACATGGAGGCCCATGTTGAGCAATAATGTCAATCATAAATGTCAGGATATATAATTGCCAATGTATGACAAATTGGACAAAGGGTTTGCAATTTTTATTCCATAAATTGATGAAGACTGTCTCAATTTTCTCATGTCATATTTTAATTCTACAGGAAGTCAAACATTTTCATGAATCTTATTTAACAAAACTAATAAAGGTCCAGTAAGTTGACTTGTGAGATAAAAAAAAATTAGCCAAAGCCTATTTATATTGCTCAATTCATGCCTGAGACCCCACCTAATGCATTAAATTTAGCCAAATCAATTTCAAATCATTATAACAGCTTGCATTCTAATTAAATAATTTGATTAGTCAATACGATTGTTAGTTCCTGGAAAGAGCCCTATTTGCTAAGCTGTCAAAGAAATATGCAAAAGCAATTTTCACAAAGCCCCAAGTTTTCATACTCAGCTGCAGCACCTAAAAACCAGTTCAGATCTCCATTTCCTCCTAGTTATCCCTTCAAACAACACAAAAAGGCTATACTGCAAAGAAACACACAAGAGAGAATGGCAGAGACTTCTGTGTTCAATCTACTAGCCAACTTTTCACTCTTCTTTCAGTGAGAGGTGAATTTGTTGAGCGGAGTTCGGGAAGAGATCGAGTACATCAGGGATGAATTTGAGCGCATGATGGCTTTCCTCAGAGTTGCCGACTCTATGGAAGAAAGTGACCCCGAACTCAAAGTTTGGGTCAAACAAGTTCGAGATGCTGCATACGACACTGAAGATGTTCTTGAGAAATTCAAGCTTAACTTCACACACAATCATGGCACTAGATTCCATGGTTTTGTTCGTAAGATTTCTTTCTCCATCAAGACTTTAAAAGCTCGCTACCAAATTGCTTATGAAGTGCAAAGAATTAAGAACAGGGTCATCAATATTTCCATGGAACATCAGAGGTACCATGATAAATATGGTATACTAGAGCAAGGCTCAAAATCCATTGGTGTTAACAATGCATGGTACGATTGTCGTGGAGATGCGCTTCTACTTGAAGAAGCTGAGCTTGTGGGCATCGAGAAGCCCAAAACAAAATTGATTGGGTGGTTGGTGGAGGGAGATCCTAGACTTAAGGTGATTTCGGTAGTGGGAATGGAAGGATTAGGCAAAACCACTCTCGTTAAAAAGGTCTACAATGATGCAGCAATAAAGAAGCATTTCCATATTCGAGCTTGGATCACAGTTTCAGAATCATTCAAGATTAAAGAGCTCTTAAAAAACATGATTCACCGGCTCTTTAAAGAAGTCAAGCAACTAGTTCCAGAAGGAGTGGAAACCATGGATTGGAACAGCCTAAAAGGAATAATAAATGCCTTCCTACGTCTAAAAAAGTATGTGCTTGTTTTTGATGATGTATGGGATATTCAAGCATGGCAAGTTTTTAGATATACATTCCGTGAGTGCAACTATGGAAGCCGAGTAATGCTCACAAGAAGAAATGCTGATTTAGCCTTATTCTCTAGTAGAGAATATAATGGCTATGTCTATGATCTACAGCCCCTATCTCCCCAAGAGTCCTGGGCCTTGTTTTGCAAAAAGACGTTTAAGGAGAACTAGCCCCTCACATTTGGAAGGACTTTTGACAAGCATCTTGAGAAGATGCAAGGGATTGCCGCTTGCAATGGTGGCTATCTGTGGTCTTTTATCAGCGAAGGACAAGAGCAGCGTAGCAAAGTGGGAGAAGACCTATCAAAGCCTTGGTGCTGAACTAGAAGGAAATAACCAACTCTTGAGCATGAAGAAAATATTGTCACTCAGTTACATTAATTTGCCTCACTATCTAAAGCTTTTTTTTTTGTACTTGAGTGTATTTCCAGAGGACCATCTAATTGAACATTGGAGATTAAGTTGGTTATGGATAGCAGAAGGATTTGTAGAAGAAAAAAGAGAAGCACCTATAGAACAAGTTGCAGAGGGCTACCTCAATGAGCTCATCAATAGAAGCTTGATTCAAGTGGCGAAGATAAATGGTAAAAGGAGGATTAAATTATATCGCATCCATGACCTTTGGCATGAAATTATTGTCTTCAAGTCAAGAGAGCAAAACATTGTAACAATAGCCAGTGAACAAGGCATGAGGTGGCCTGAAAGAGTCCGACGCTTGTCAATCCATGATAATATATAACATTTACAACAAAGCAAGCGTTTCACTCAGCTACGTTCTTTGCTTCTATTTAGCGCTACATATTCACCAAGCATGTCGTCCATGCTTGTATCATTAAGAGATCTAAAGCTGCTGAAGGTGTTGGATCTGAGTGGTGCCTCATTAAAGATTTTCCCAAATGACGTTGTCAAACTAGGCCATCTCACGTATCTAAGTATAAAGGGAACCGAGGTAAAAAAAAATTCCAAAGTCAATAGGAAGGCTCAAGAACCTGGAAATCTTGGACCTTAGACATACCTATGTCATTGAGTTTTCGATCAGATCCTAAATCTCCAAAGATTGCGCCATCTCTTGGCATTTCAAAATGAAGATAAACTTAATTATTATTCTTTTAATAAGGAGTGTGGGTTCAAAGCCCCAATTGAAATAGGAAATTTGACCTCCTTGCAGAAACTTTGTAGAATTGAAGCAAACCATGGCAGTGGCATTTGTACCAAGAAAGATAGGGAAGCTGACCCAACTGAAGTCATTAGGCATTATAAAGGTAAGTGGTGAAGATGGTAGGGCACTATGCTCATCCCTTGAGAACCTTTATCCATTGTATGTCACTGCAACAGAAGAAGATGAGATCATTGATCTAGAATCTCTATCTTCGCCTCCTCGACTTCTCCAAACACTATTCTTGAAGAGATGTTACCGCATTGGAAACCTTCTCTTCTTAGCCTAGTGACAGTATGTTTACAGTGGAGCAAGTTAAAAGATGTCGGTCCACTACAATATCTTCAAGGTTTACCTAATCTGGTTTATCTTGATCTTGTTGAGGCATATGAAGAAGAGGAATTGTGTTTCCAGGCTGGTGGGTTATGGAAGCTTAAGATTTTATTGCTTAGTGGATTAGAAGGATTGGGGTGGATGATAGTGGAGGAAGGTGCAATGCCTCGTCTTGAAGAGCTATATATTCAGAATTGCAAATTTATGGAGGAGTTGCCCTCATGCATTGAACAGCTAACCAACCTTACATTGCTTGACTAATTTGATATGTCTGATATAATGGTTTCCAACTTCCAAGTTGAATAGAGACTTACAAGGTGGGGATTACTGGAGAATATCTCAAATCCCTGAAGTTTGGATTGGGGACACAAAAGATGGGCGTTGGAGAGGAACTAATATGTAGAGGGAGAGAGAAAAAGAAAGATTTTCTACCAGGTTTGAACTCTTCATATTCCGATGTATTCTTTTTTAATCATTTTATCCCCCAAACAGTTAATTTGAAACCTTTTTTTTCTTCTCTCAAATAAGTAATCTTTTCTGCAATTGTAACTTTCCCATAACATATCTCTCAACAAAAATGGCAAATATGTTATCATTTACAATTATGACCATTCTAATTCATAGCATTTGCAAAATTGTGACTAAATTCAAACTTTTGTAGTTAAACTTATACCTATTTCTTTCTAATCTTTCAACGTGCGACTCGTTATAAGCTTTCCTTCTTTTATCCCCTTACATCCCTATGACACAAGACACCGCAATTAAACGCCAATGGTCAAGTCAAACACAACAATAGGTTCATAATGAACTCAAAAACAAAATGACCTTGTATTGCAATTCTTTCAAACATGAGAATTCTTGTATCATTGCACCGAACTCGCACGTTTGTGTAGGTAAGTTGGCTCTTATATCATAAGAAACAAGCCCGCCGAGAACCTACCCAAAAAGATATGCACCCAAAGCAGAATTTTGATGTGAGACTCAGCATATGCTAAAGTGGGTCTTGTGTATGCAAGTTGGCTCTCATTTTGCTGTATGTTGAAAGTAAGAGTAGACATTTTTATGAGGGAGATTGTGTTATACGACTTGCTACTCAATTCAGATGCAAAGGAATTGTTTCACACATCTATTCCTGGATAGATTTTTATTTGACTCCCTATCGTTTGGACATATGAACATGTTAGACAGCAGCTAATGATTTGTATTTTCTGATCCTTTCCAAGGCAGGCTCCTCATAAAATCACCCAAAATAAAAATAAAAAAAAAAGAGAGAAAAAAGAAAAAGAAAAATAGAGAAATTGAAGACTTGTGCTATAAACCATATGCTAACCAAATAACTAAGAAAATTGACTGATTCTGATTAAGTTCAATGACCAAAGCTGAATGCTTTTAGTAAAGTGTCAACAAAATTAATAAAAAGAATATGTGCATTTTTAAAGTGTTTGTTCAAAATTGTAATTTTTGTTATGGGAATTCTATCCATTAACAGGGACAGCGGGTCATGATTTGAAGAAATTGTGATGTTGGTCACTGTTTCCCAAATCACAGCAAAATCTTTACCAAAATATAACATGGGTTTTCTTTTTGCTGCAAATTTACAAACAAAAATTCCAAGAGGTATTGATGCAACAACATGAATATGAACACAACAGCAGGAGACAGAGAAGTAACAAGACTTGTGGACTCACGGATTGAATTTTGTTGCACCTCTTTCTGGCCTCTGTGTGTGTATGTGTGTGCGCGCGCGCGTGCGCGCGTGAGAGAGAGAGAGAAAGAGGAGAAAGTAGTTAACATAACTGCGTCGTTTTCGATTTATAGTATGTTTATGTTAAGAAAATGCTAACAACTAATCTGTTGATTTTTCAAATTTTTTTTTTTTGATTTTTTTTTAAATATTCAAGCTAAATAAATTTTATCCTTAAAAAAAAATCTATAAGAAAAAATATATATAAATATATTTTGGGTAAATTACATTGACACCTCTTGAGGTTTGGTCCAATTACTATCCGCCCCCTGACGTTTTGGAAATTACATTTCCACCCTTGTGGTTAATAGTCTCATTTCACAAAACTCCTACTTATATAAAAGGGTAACAACTCCTAATAGAAAAATAGAGGAAATTACAATAAATAAGTAAATAGGTACAGGAAATGAGGGAAAAAAAAAAAGAGAAAGTAAAGCAGAGCAAAAAAAGAGAGAGTGCATGAGTTCAATGTCTTCATTCCGTCTAAATAATTACAATGACAAGGGGGTTAGTGTAATTTCCCAAACGTCAGGGGGTGATATGTATTAAATACAAACCTCAGGAGTGTAAGTGTAATTTACACTCTCTTTTTTTTCACAAAATTTGTTTTTAAATTTTTTTTAAAACATATTTTAAAAACTAAACCAAGCATTACCCATTTGAGAAAAATAAATTAGATTAAACTTATTTCGAATTCATAAGGGCTCAATGGGGCTCACCATGAATTCCGTTTCAATGATTCAAATTGTTCACCTTCAGGGTAGGCCCTAAGTTATTAGGAGCCTAAGGCAAATTTTTTAAATTAGGCTCTTCATTTCATTACCCCCAAAAAAAAAAAAAAAAATTTGTTTGGATAAAACAAAAAAGATAAAATTTTATTTCTATTGCATTACAATTTAACAAAATTTAGATAACAAATATATATATATATATAATAGTTGAACTTCAATTAGTTGAATCGAATTTTTATTTTTTAGCTTATTAATGCTATAATAACAAAAATTAATTTGGGGGTAAAAATGAGAATTTTCGACACAACTCAAGCAATATATAAAATTAGCAAGTTAGGGTTGACTATTTTCAACATGAATCCAAATATGAGACGACTCAATAACATGAATTATTAGTTATAAATTTTAATGTTCACTGAGGGATGCCATGACATCTTTTTAATCTTTTATTTAACTCCATCTAACTAAATAAAAAAGTATGTAAAATAATAATTAAGGCTAATATACTTTTTTCATTTAAGATATGTATTTTTTTTTTGTTACCTATTTTAGAGTCAATCTAGTAAAAAAAAATATATAGTAATAAGTAATAATTTTTTTAATTAGAAAAATGCAATTGCATTAAAATCAAACATTCTATGAGTAATTTCATATAGTAGAAATAAATTTTATAAAATTCAACTTATGGAAAAAAAATTTAATCTCTCCATACACTTGCTAAGTTATTTTTAATTAAAAGTGAAAGTTTTCACATTAAACATCAATCGGACACGAATCAAAATAACACCATATAACAACATGAAAATAAATGAATTGAGCTAATATTGAAATAATTATAAAATAACACGACATGATACACTCTTCTAGTTGGGGCCCTAAATTTTGTTCAAAATTGGGGGCCCAAGGCGACCACCTTTGTCGCCTTGCCTTGGGGCCGGCTGCGTATTATCAGTGAAAAAAATTAAGTTGATCCAATAATTATATATATATTTTTTATTTTATTATGTTTATCTTGCTATATAGATTTATTTATAACTTTTCGCAAGTCCGACCAGTCCGGGATCGAACTGGACCGTGCTGTTGGGCCCGTGGGGGCCCACCACGGGCCCCATTTTGAAAATCTGAACCGTTCAATGTGTAGAACTCGTCGAGTACTACATGCCTGTAAAAAATCACGTTGATTGGATATCGATAGCTATGTGATCAAATCAATTTTGTATAAAAAAAAATGGACGGTGAAAAAATTAACGGTTGATAAAAAACTGTTTTGTTCACATAGCTATCGATATTCGATCAACGTGATTTTTTACAGGCATATAGTACTCGACGAGTTCTACACATTGAACAATTCAGATTATCAAAACAGGACCCGTGGTGGGCCCCCACGGGCCCAACAGCACGGACTACAGAAGCCATGGCCTATATAGATATTGACAAAATGCATTTTTTTGTTGTATATTAACCTTTTTCATAGGAATCACCGTTTCCACATATCTAGGTAATTAAGCTGATGTAGTTCATCATGTTATAATTTGTTAGTATACCATCTTTCCTATGTGTGTGGAAGCCTCATCCACTTTGTTGGGTAACCATTTATTGAATCAAATGGATCGAAAACAAGCATAATATGATCTCACTCTCAGCAACCAAATGGTTAAACTCGTCAATGAAGCTTGCCGGAAACTTTTGGTTTGAATTTCATCAAGTAAAAGATTCAATATTAGCATTGAAAGTACTAATGAACGAGGCATGAGGTGGCCTGAAAGAGTCCGAAGCTTTTCAATCCATGATCATTTGGAACATTTACAACAAAGCAAGCATTTCACCAAGCTATGGTCTTTGCTCCTATTTAGTGCTACATATTCACCAAGCATGTCGTCTATGCTTGCATCATTAAGAGATCTAAAGCTGCTGAAGGTGTTGGATCTGAGTGGTGCCGCATTAAAGATTTTCCCGAATGAAGTTGTCAAACTAGGCCATCTCACGTATCTAAGTATAAATAAAACCGAGGTAAAAAAAATTCCAAAGTCTATAGGAAGGCTCAAGAACCTGCAAATCTTGGACCTTAGACACACCTACGTCATTGAGTTGCCTGATGAGATCCTAAATCTCCAAAGACTGTGCCATCTATTGGCATTTCAAAATGAAGATAAACTTAATTGTTATTCTTTTAATAATGAGTGTGGGTTCAAAGCCCCAGTTGAAATAGGAAATTTGACCTCCTTGCAGAAACTCTGTAGAATTGAAGCAACCCATGGCAGTGGCATTTGTACCAAGAAAGATAGGGAAGCTAACCCAGCTGAAGTCGTTAGGCATTATAAAGGTAAGAGGCGAAGATGGTAGGGCACTATGCTCATCCCTTGAGAAGCTAATCAACCTTTATGCATTGTATGTCACTGCAACAGAAGAAGATGAGATCATTGATCTAGAATCTCTATCTTTGCCTCCTTGACTTCTCCAAACACTATTCCTGAAGGGACGTTTGGAGAAGTTACCACATTGGACACCTTCTCTTCATAGCCTAGTGACAGTATGTTTATGGTGGAATCAGTTAAAAGACGCCGGTCCACTACGATATCTTCAAGGTTTACCCAATCTGGTTTATCTTGATCTTGTTGAGTCATATGAAGAGGAGGAATTGTGTTTCCAGGCTGACGGGTTCCGGAAGCTTAAGATTTTATTGCTTAGTGGATTAGAAGGATTGGGGTGGGTGATAGTGGAGGAAGGTGCAATGCCTCGTCTTGAAGAGCTATATATTCAGAATTGCAAATTTATGGAGGAGTTGC